TGGAAGAGTGGAGGGTGGAAGAGTGGAGGGTGGAAGAGTGGAGGGTGGAAGAGTGGAGGGTGGAAGAGTGGTGGTGGAAAAGTGGTGGTGGAAAAGTGGTGGTGGAAAAACTCATGTTACCGAGGGAACGTTTCATGACGTGACCGAGCCAGGTAACATTTCCTGATGCAACCTACCCCATGCAAAAGGATAGGGCCATCATAAACAGGTTGCATCACCGCAAACGTTACCTGGTTTGATTGCGCCAAGAAAAGTTCCCTCGGTAACAATAGTGTTTCCAGTGAGTGGGGGTGGAAAAGTGAAGGTGCAAAAGTGGGGGTGGAAAAGTGGAGGTGGAAAAGTAGAGGTGAGAAGCGGAAGTAGGGTTTGGATGTGGAAGTGGAGTTTAGATGTGGAAGTGGAGGTTAGAAGCAGAAGTAGAGGTAAGAGGCAGAAATGCGTAAGAAGCAGAAGTGGAGGTAAGAGATGAAACTAAAGGTGAGAAAAGGAGAAGTTGGAGGTGGAAGTGAAGCTGATGCAGAGGGCCGCCTATCCCTCCCCCCTGTCTTGGTCGTACTCCTCCCGAAGGCGCAGGGCCACCACCGCACTGGCGCGTCCTGGCCTCCAGGTGTGCAATTGAGATAAGGCGCCGGGGCGCGAGGACGTGTCAGCCGGGAAGTGAAGGGGGTATAGCCCTGGGGCAAAACAATAAATAAACTCACATTCGTCAACCCCTTCGGAGGTTGAAACTGAAACTGAACTTGTTGTTCAGTCAAATATCAAGTGGACACAGGAGGATGAATTTTCATCTAGTTTTTCGCATGCCTTGTAAAGAGGTCGGCACCCCATGACGACGGTCGAAAGAGGTGTCTCCCTATGGAGGAGGGGGACGGGGCAGTCTCACCGCCCCCTCCCCTTTGCCCCCAGGCCTTTCGGAGCTGAGCTCGCATAGCGCGCTGGCTAATGGAGTAGGGCATGGGAAGTGGGGGTGGAGCGGCGCTTGTAGGACAGAGGGAGCGCAGGTCGGCGCAGCTCTCGTGCGTCCTGGCCCTCCGCGTGTTACGTCCGCGACCTAGACACAGTAAAGAACGACCAACTCTACTATCGATTTGGCTGGCTGGCTGGCTGGCAGGCAGGCAGGCCGGGCGGCCCCCGGGTTCACCCCCTCCCGTGAGGACAACCCCCGCCCAGCCCCGCCCCGAGGCAGGGCACACCCCTCGGCACGCCCGCAGCCACGTCGCCTTCCTCGAGGGAACACCCCCCTCCCTCCCTCCCTCACCACCACCCTCCGAATTCCTCTGGCTATGAGTGCGAGCGGGCGAGTGAGAGCGCTTCAGAGACGAATAACAGCAGCAGAGTGAGCGCTTTCTGTGAAAGAGAAAGGAACGAGGTTTTCGACCCGAGCGACGCCTCGGTGCAATCAGTTCAATCCTCCCTTTTCTATCGCACACCAACGGCCAGCCCTTGGCCAGCCCTTGGCCAGCCCTTGGCCAGCCCTCCCTCTACCCGACGGCCCGCCCTTGGCCAGCCGTCTACCCAACGACCAGCCCTTGGACAGCCCTCTACCCGACGGCCGGCCCTTCGCCAGCCCTCTATCCAACGGCCAGCCCTTGGCCATACCCTTGGCCAGCCCTCTACCTAACGGCCGGCCCTTGGCCAAACCCTTGGCCAGCCCTCTACCCGACAACCATGGCCTGGCCAGCCCTATCCACCCTGCCCGGCGCAGGCCCTCGGAATGGCTTTCGAGTCATGTAATCAAAATCAACTACGCTATCTGCCGGGCCCATCCCAAGAGGACGGCCCAAAAACAGGGTTGCGGCCGACTAAAGAACGGCCTGGAACGGGACCAGCTTGAACACGGCCGGCGCGGGTAGCTACGAGTTTGACCCTTTATCGCGGGCCTCCCTCGAGGCCATCCCTTCCCCGGGTCGGGCGTTGGCCGCGTCCTCGACACGAAAGTCCCCTCCTGCCGCGACCAGACGGGGGCCGGCCTGCTGGTCGCGACGCGAGGAGAACACCCGTGACTTACGGACATCCACAAACGGGCTGGGGCGTGGCGTGGCGTGGCGTTGCTTGTGCGAGGCCGACGGAGGCAGCGGGCCAGAGGGACACGGGGGAAACTGTCGAATCAGCAAGTATGGCTTCGGCGAGCGGGGCGTGGCGCGGCGTGGCGGGCCGTGGTGGAGCGCACCATCCAGAAGGGGTCGTGGCCGGGGGCATCCCGGGGGGTGAGGAAGAGGGGGTGTCGGATAACGACAAACTCGATGGGGAAGGGTCCTCTCCGCTGGTCCCCTGGACCGGTCCCCTCCTCCCCCAACCTCAGGCCCCCTTCCTGCCCTGGACGCACAAATTGAAGCCGAAGCGTGGTGGCTTGTGCCCCCCTGCCCCCCCCCTTACGTCCCCTTTCGTCCTTGACGCCTGCATGCCAAGACTCCCACCCCAGCAGGGAGACACTGGAGTGTACACACCAAACATCTCGTAACGCGGACGTAGCCGTACGGTAGGGTGCGGCGGGGTGCGTGGAGTCGGGGGTGCGGGGGGCTGCGGCCGTGGCGGGGCGAAGGATCGCATTTACTTTGCGGCCAAGGCGTTGGCCACATGCTAACCTCGTCAGCTCGTCCGCCAAACTGCTCCCCCCGGCCCCAAGGCCTCGAAGGGGGGCCGGGCCAGAGCCGCCCGTGAGCACCCCGCCGGTCCCCGCGGCCCTCCCCAGGCCTTTGTGGCGCCCTAGAACTATAAAGTCTGCTATCGCCCGAACCCCCGGCCGCCCCCAACCCAGGCCGCCGTATCCTCGAGGAGCTTCCCGCGAGCGGCGGGAGGTTCCCGATATCCTTCAGGGACGCCGGGACGAGAGCGGCGGCG